CGGCAGCACATGGACTGAAGTCCCAGCGAGTGCTCTGGGAGGCAGGAGGATTGCAAGTTTGGTCCCAGCCTGGGCAACTTAGTAACTTACCCCGACTCTGTCTCAAATAAACAAATAAAACAGGGGCTGGGGATTTTGCTCAGTGAAGCCCCTGCTTCACTCCTCAGTGCTAAAAAACCAAAAAGCAAAAGACACAAAGTTCACGTATTCAGAAAACACTGATTCTGATACACACACAAATGAAATACGCGCTGTCGCCTTCACATGCGGCTCCACTGCGCCTGCACAGACGCTCTTCGCGGCTGCCTGGTGTCCGACTCCTCCTGCAGATGGGTGACAAGGACCTAACCCGGGACGGCAGAGAGCTGGCTTCTCCCAAAGAGGTCGTCTCCAATTGCAAATTCCTCCCTCGGTAACCACGCCTAGAGGGACAGGCAGGAGCGCAGCCACTCTGCCCTAGGTAACAGAGGTCAGCAGATCCCCGCCCAGGCCGGCAGCCACCGTCCGCGACAGGAGCCCGGAGCCCGGGACCGCCAGAACCAGTGTTCGATTGCATCCCCAGCAGCCCAAAGAAAACAGCTTAAAAAAGCCCGGGTGTCTGAAGAGACTTTCGCCAAATTGGTTTTTCAAAAATACAAGTCATTAGCTCCTTAATGTGGAAGTCAGACTTTTCCAATGCCCGATTTATTACTGGCAAAGGCGTCCTTGAGCTCTGCCAGTCACCAGGGGGAAGCGCTGGACGAGGGGTCGGGGTGCACAATTCCAGGCAAGGTCGGGGAGCAGTGCGCACTGCTGTGACAACCGAGACAGAATCCGTGTTCGCTGGCCGTGCTGGGGACACACGGGCTCACTCACGAAAACGCTTGGGCAAAAACTGCTGAAAAAGGGGAAACACAAATCAGAAAAGGCTGGCAAGTGTTCCACGTCTGAGGCTCCATTAATAGACCGTCAGTCTAGAAGGGCCTTCTGGTCTTATATTACACATGAGGGAACCGGGTCCTTGAGAGGTGACCTGACCCGAACACGCTCACGCGGGGCTGTGAGAAGCAAAGGAGTCCGGGAGGGCGCCCGCACTGTCTCCCGAGCCACCACGGCTTTCCGGAAGCCTAAACCCTCCGGACAGTGACCCAGGTGTACCAGAAAGGCATGGACCCCAGAGGCACAGTGGCCCGTACTGCTCAGCAAACTGGTAACTGTGATACCAGTGAAAGACTGTCCGTTCCCGCTCACAGGGGTTCACAGTCGTTAGACTAAATTATGAGGCTCTAAAATAGATTTACAGGTATGTGACAGATGAGGCAGGGCCACTATAAAAGCAACACACTCCAGGAGGCAGCCAGGATGAAGGAAGCTGAAAAAGAAGATTGTCATCCTGACAGCGAGGATGCCGAACATTTACGCGTGTATTCATAACGCGTGGGACTTTCTGGGTCTTCCCGTCTGATCGCTCTATGGGTGGTCTGCAAACTGCAGCGCGTTATTTTAGAGAAAACATTGAGAAATGCTTTTCTACCGTTTGTCTCAGTAGAGAAGATGAAGGGTCCTACAAGCAACCCAGGATGGAAATGGGAGATGGCCCAGGGGCTCGGCAGTCCCCAGATGCTGCTGAGTGCAGAACATGACACGGGGAAGGAACGCAGCAGAGGGCTAGGGCCGGACCGAGAGGCCGCGCAGCGGATAACAATACAAACAGGCACAGCGCTGTCTGTGGGAGGCGTGAGACTTGTGGTCGTGTTGATCCCCTTCGGGGTGTACGGAGGTGATTTTCAGGATGGTAGGTATAGGTTTTCACTCTTTGGCATAAATATATTAGCTTTTTCCTTATGGGCGGGTGTTTCGAGACCAGGCTGTCTTCCTTTTTGTTACCACAAACATTTCCTGAACAGCAGAATACAGGCTTCTAGATCCCCGCTTTAAGGAGCTACAGTAATGCATCCGAGAGCATGTCTCAGCAGAAGCAGAACTTCACATTCTGCCGGTATTAGTCTCTCTACTTTAACACCCAAATTAAATGGTAAGTGTTGGATAAGCAAGAGAACTGCCACCACTCTCTGAAGCGAAGAAAAAGTGGGTATTTTAATCAAACTGACAATCTTTCCAGGAAAGTGAAATTTTTCAGGGGTGTTGAGAAGGCGATTTGTAATGAAGACCCCTCTAGAATTAGCTGGAGTTAAGCCGCTCCTGAGGGCCTGCGGTCACCTGTGTTTCTCTTTCCATCTCTACTCCCTGGAACCCTGCTTGTCCTCAGGAAATGCGTCAACAGATGACCGGGAGACTTGACACAGGAAACCTAAAGGGACAGTGCCCTGGAGTACAGACACTCACAGGGCCGAGCACGTCCCAAATCAGCGGTGAGGTGGAATGGGTCGCAGCGGGTCTCAGCAGGTCCTCTTCCGTGAGGACTTTCTCACCTCGGCCACGCTGTCATCTGTTCTTCCGGTTCGGATTCGAACAGTCATGCATGACAGACCTAACAGACAGGGTGCTTACTGCTATAGGGTCTGTCTTAATCCACAGAATACGACGAGCAGATGCAACCTTGAGGGAAAGTCGCACTGCTCTGCTCCTCGCTGAGTCCTACCAAATATTTCAAATTAGTAACACAAAGGAACAGAAACATATCTGTACGATCTCAGGTGACATAAGCTGGGAAGGAGACCTGCAGCGCAGGGTTACACAGCCCACTGAAAACACTGAGAGGGAACCTCTACGGGCCAGGTACGAAAGGGAACTGCGCTTAACGAGACACTGTTCCGCACAGGCTCCCCTCCGACCAGGAGGCAGAATGCATAGGGCGATCACAGACGGAGGTCTCAAGGGACAAACTCCGTAACGAGTTGCAGAAGCGCAGCAGAGGTCAGTGGAGGAAGATGGTCCCCGCCAGCCTTACGTGTTCCTGCGGCCAAATCTGGGAGGGTTCGGAGACGCAATGGTCAGAAGGGACGGATGAGCAGAACGCGGGCATGGGTAAGGAAGAGGAGGGAAGGGTGGTTCAGAGACGGAGAGGCGGGAGCTTCCGCGGGGAAGGGGTGTGGTTTTGGGTGATGAGAGGATGGAACTCAGGACAGGGAGATGAAAGAAAAGTTGGGCAATAAGACTCTGGGCTTCAGGCTGGCACAATAAACTAAAAACAGGGAAGTGAGATTTAACCAGATGAACTTCCAGTTTTGAGGGGCAGTGTAAAACACGGCTCTCCTTTCTTCTTGAAAATCACCCCGCAGACTACCGCTGCACACGAGCCACAACCCGTAACAATGAACAGCAAGGCCAGCGCCCAAGATGCAGGGCGGTGGCGGGCGGAGAGCAGGAAAGGAGCTTCACACAGCAAAGTGCTGGGCAGAAAGCAGGAATGGGCTGGAGTTTGGGCCTAGGGCCACGGGAGGATTAGGGTCATGTGTTTTGTAACAGTCACATTTATTCTCTTAACTATTTAAAAGAAAAGTTTTGATAGTATTATTATATAGTTTAGAATACAGGTCATTATCAGAATATCTCTTCGGTCTAGGCCCCTGCGGGTGAAACCAGGGCACGGGTGCTGCAGCTCTGAAAGGTTTGCCATCACTGGTCTAGGCCACAAGTCCCAACACTGGAGGCCGTGCGAGTGACAGACGGCCTGGCTTCCCGACAGATGGCTGACTTGGCCCAGCGGGACCACATCAGAATGGCTGCACCTTCACACTTAGGAGTGGCCGATTTCTGAAATGCTCCACTTAAGAGCGTTGTGGTGGAGGGTGCCCGTGGCTCACCGAGAGCAGAGGGTGAAACCGTGGGTGAGGGGACAGACCGCGTGACACTTGCCCAAGGCGCCATCTTCCCTGACCAGACTCACTGAGCAGACTTCCCTGTCTTCTAGAGAGGATTTTATGGATCACTTTAAAGGTTCTCTTTGGAAGATTCCGTTTTCCAACCTATCTTTCAAGCTTCTGCTTTCTTGGGTTGTAGCCTTAAGACTGTACTTGTTATGGTGCACATTCATGTGGACTCTCCTTTATTAACTAAGGAACTTTATGTATTTTTACCCAAAGTCTACTTTTCTCGGAAACTTGCAGCCAGGGCACTAACTGCCGAAGGAGGGTTACAAAAGTGACAAGTGCTCTTCCGCTGAGTGGGGAAAGTTCATGCAGATTCTCTTCCCGCACTGCTACCCTGCAGCTTCTGAGTTAGACAACGTGCTCCTTATGGGTGTCAAAGATCAGCGTCCGCTCTTAAGTTATTTTGGTGAGAAATATGCCAGGGACAGTAGAACAATTCTGGTTTCTAGTCTTCCTTATTAGTGCTGCTTTGGCCCGATGACAGAATATTCCAATTGTTCATGTTTTGATTAACATAAAAATGACATACAGCTAGCTTTTTTCCCCCTGTAGTAGGACTGTGTACACGACAAGAAACTAACTTCTAACTTCTGCTATTATACTTAACAGGAAATGCCATAATTTTGGAGAAAAATACGAATTCTGAAGTTATGTAACAGTAAAAGCACTATCTTACATGGCAACAAGACTTACATTCTTTTCTATAAACAAATCACTGACAGATGACAGCAGAATAAAGGAGATTTTTGAAGAACATTATTTGTGCTAGTGTACGAGAATTCATTTCCAGTCACATGATTTACCATATGCACAGCACGCTTCCATTTCTCTTTCAAACATCCAAGATTTACAACTTGGGCAGGGCAAAAAAAAAAAAGTTACACAGATCGACGGTAATTTAGTGTATTATTTTTCTTTTTTCTTTCTTTTTTTTTGGTACTGGGGATTGAACTTGGGACCTTGAACTTTCGAGACAGGCGGCGGAACCACTGAGCTAAATCTAAATCCCGGGCGTAGTGTACTTATTTTTAAGGAGAAAACTTTGACCTGTGGTTACTTTTTATCAGGGTATTGATTCAAAACAGGAAAGAAGAGATAGAAAACTTGGTCACTCCGTTTAGCAGTTTTCTCAGACTGGAAACGTTTACACGAGGCTGCACACAGACAGGACAGCCTGAGCCAACTTACCACATGAACCATCTTGAGATATCTGGCGTATCTGGGGTCCTCGGCCACAGTCACGGTACTTTCTGACAAAGCTTCACTTTCCTGGGCTCCAGAGTCCTGTGCATTGCTGGGCTGTAGAGAATATTTTGCGTAAATCTTCAGACAGTTCCCAAAAGGGGTCCGTCGTGTTACTTAGATGCTTCTCTTTATAATTACAAGGCAATAGATATCAGAGGTCATATTTCTAAATTTAAATACCAGTACTTCAATTATGGGATATACAGTTTTAAATATCTGTGGACAGTTAAATATGACACCAGAGGAAGTTACACTGGAACACCAAGAACACCGTTCCTTAAAATGCAAATATATTCATGGCATTAAAATTTTAAATTTTGTTTTGCTTATATCCAGGATGACAAAACATGTGGTATATGTGGATCTATTACTTTAATAAAACTTTTAATAAAGCCAGTGAAACTATTTGCTCAATTGCACAACTCTAACAGACAGAGAATGGGTTTCCTGTGTAGCTACCGTCTACGCTACTGAACTCCTTTTTGTTTGTTTTTTGGGGGTGAGGGGGTTTGAGACAGGGTCTCACTATGTAGTTGAGACTGATGTGGAACTCCCTATGTAGCCCAGGCTGGTCTGGAACTCACAGAGATCCTCCTGCCTCAGCCTCCCAGTGCTGGGGTTATAGGTGTGCGCCACCATGCCTGGCTTTGAGCTCCTCCTGCATTACACCATCTTACTCTAAGCAGACATGGCCACTCTCACTTTTTAGGAAGCACTGCGTAGCTTTTCAAATGAAACTATTTAGTTTTGTACATTTTAGCCACTGACAGAAGTACTATTAATGGTAATACTATCCAAGAGCAGTTAAGATTAATCACCAAACACTTCTTACAAATACACTGGGGATGATGTTTTTTCTAGATGAAAATGCACCTATTATACAGGCAGCTCTCTCTCTGCATGGAACCATGTTAGCTGAGGTGCAAAGCTAAGACCACTTATACACAGCATTTCATTTTTTTCTATCAAACTCGACTTTCAGAATAAATTTACTTTTGGGAATATCAGTATCTTCACATGTTAAGAGGGATTCCTTTAACAAGTAAAATAAATTTTATATCTATCCATCTAAAATGCAGATAAATTAATAGATATCCTCAAAATTTTATGGTCTTTAGGACATGAATGTGAGTCACATTAAAGGTTTTCCTCAGATTTTTCAAACATAAGCTAAATCTGTCAAAAACTCTGAAGCAAATAAAACATCCCCAAATCTTTCTGGTTTCTCACACTGTACTGTTAATGTTATACCAGTGAGTACACTCCCACACGAATATATACATATAATTAAGTGCAAACAGTCTAAAACACTGTTCATTCAATTAAAAAAATACAAACAAGCTCTAAGTGTGTTTCTAGAAGATTTACGGCCGCAAAGTCACAGAGCAGCAGGACGTGTGGAGCGAGGGCGACACCCCAGCCTTGCAGGGCTCAGGGCCACGGGAGCTCACGTCCCCGGTGACCGACCTGTGAAAGCCTCGCTCGTCTCTCAACTGCCCTTCATTTCACTCCCAAGGTAACCCTAGCGGGGTAATTGGACGTCTCACTGAGAAGAACGAACGATCTGAACCGTGAAATTAAAGCTGCAGGAAAACCAGGATACAGACTTTCAGTTTCTGATTCACATATAGATCAGTGGCAGTGACAAATGGGTGATTTTTTTAATGCAAAAATATCTGAGAATTGTCCGTAGCATCAATGGAAACTCTGCAAAGCAAAAGGTACGCTCGTTTCATAATATTTTACATACCACATACCAAGAACAAGGAAGAAGGAATGCGTAATAATGCGCTGAACAGTTATTTTATTAAAGCTGAGTGACAAAACTTTATTACAATTTTTAAGTGGAGGAAGCCAACAGAGCTTGGTAAATCCTCTGAATGAATTAATGCCCAATTTTAGAATAAAACTGTCGGAGATACAACAGGTGAATCTGAATTTGCAAAATAAATTAAGAAATTCAGGAGGGCAGGGGTATGGGGAACAAATAAGAACCAAGACATATCATGCGAAGGTTCGAGATCCTAACGATGAGTGTAACTGTATTGTTTGCTTTAAACGGACCAATAAATTTCATGGGGGGAAAAAGAAATTTAGCTGTGACTTCTAATAATCTCTTTGAATCTTAACTGGGTGAGGATCAACACAACTGCCTAAAAGTTCTAAAATACATTGCACTCAAAACACTTGAAAATTAATATTCTAAGACAGATTCATCTAAAACATTTACATAAACCTATATATAAGCACTATATATGAGCACTGTATAAAGAATAATCTTGAGGTAAAAAGAAAATTCTTTTTTTCTTTGGAGACAGGGTCTCGCTATGCAGCCCAGGCTGGCCTCACACTCACAGCGAACCCCTGCCTCAGCTTGGAAATACCTTTGTAATATCCTTCACAGATCCCTCGTTTTAGGAGAAGGTGGTAATGATCACCATCTTGCTACGAAAGTGTTACCCTTTTCTTTAACTTCCTCCTTCCAAGCTGTCCCTTAGCTTACTTGGGCTCAGCCCAGAACGCGCCCGTGTCTCCGGAGCCTGAGGACATACCTGGGCCTGCTCCGGAGCGGCTTCAGAATGGGACCTGTGTGTGACGCTGCTGACGCTCGACGGAGACGCTTCCAACGTCACCTCATCGAGGCCGGGGATGGACGACAGCTGAAGAGAGGAAAGGAGAGGGCGCTCGTGTCAGAGGAGACGAGCAAGTCTGGAGCCCGAACGCTCTGGACAGGTTTGTGACAGCTCATCTTTAATTCTCTGTCATAAGCAAAACTGGAAAGACATTCGCAAGTAAAATACTCTTAATGTTTTTCTCAAATATAATTTAGCTATTAACTACTCTCCCGAAAATTATTTTTAAAACACAGCGAATGCTGGTGACAGGTCAGACCCCGGCCCTGGCTCTGCACTCAGCTCTCCCTCCTTTCTCAGCCCCTCTGCGAGTCCACCTTATCACCGATGGTGCAGGGGGATATTTTTTTAAAAAAAATATTTTTCAGTTGTTGTAAAAAGATGTTTACTTAGAATACTTTACTTTTCAAAAGTGCTCAGCAGCACACACTTTAAGTTTTCATTATCTGGGATGTGCAGAAAACTCTCACTGTCCATCAAGGGTACGTGGTGCCGGGCGGCGCTGGGCCTGTGGTGATTCCCGCGACTCGGGGCACCAGCAGCCCGGGAGTTCAGAGCCTACCTGGGCAACACAGTGCAACCCTGTGTGTAAAGGTGTGGAAAAGGTGTGTAACTGGTACTACAGACGGATGGTTTCTCATACCTAAAAACGGCACATCCTCGGCCCGTCCACCTGAAAGTTAAGGACTCGGGTTGGACTGGCCGGGCCTGTGCACACCCTGTCTTCCACTCTATCCTGACACCCAGTGACACCTGCCTGTCAGATACCTGGCTAACTTCAGAGCTGAACCCTGCAGCCGTGGGACAAAATAACGTTAACGCACCTCGGACCGTGGGCTCTGACTCCACGAGGACGCCCCACACGTTCCACAGGACGCAGGTGCACGACAGAGCTAACGGGCACCGAGGTAGGAGATCTCCAGGGCAGCGCTCACCGCGAGCTGCTGACCGATCCTCCTCGGCACAGAGGCTGGGCCCAAGCCTGCGGGCCGGAGAGACTGCTGGGAGAACAGCCAGTGTGCAAGGCCAGGGAGCCCCGTCTCCCCCCAGAGCGGGCGTCAGAAAAGCACAGCTGCACCAGTCCAGAGGAGACGCAGCCCTGCAAGCCTAAAGCTGCTACTCTCATTTCTTCCTTCTCGTAAGTACTGAAGAACGAGGATTTTAGGGTCATTTAAAAAATTTAAGTTAATTTACTCGATATAAAAAAAGGCACATTTTTATGGATTGTCTTTTCTTTGCTAAAAGGATTGAATCACAGAAGTGTAGTGTTTCCTTTATGAACGGGGGAAAAACAAATGTACAAATGAGGGGAAGAATAAAACAAAGTTAAAACATGTTACTGGTATTTGCCAGACTTTAGGTCTTCCACAAGCGGCCTTCTGCTTTTCATAGTCAGCGCTCGCCACCTCCGACACCGCACCGACACTGCCCTTGGCCCTGAAGGTGTTCGCAGAGTAAAGCAGTGGAGCCTGCCTGAAAGGCGGCTCTGCACAGCTGCAGTTTTAGGTGATCGTGACATTACGCAGCTAGTAAGCGGCCACTACTCTAACAGCCACGGATGGAAGGGACTGAGCGCTCGGGGTGACTCGTTACGCCCTCTGTGTTTCGGTGTGCATGGTTCACAATAAACACTATTTCCCTGTAATTATATTAAATCCTTAAGGACACCATACTGTACCACTTCACAGATGCGCGAGTTAAATTTAATTCATTTCCAAGTGCAGCTGAAGTAGGACTGAGGGTGTTGTACGTATATCAAAGTTCACACTATAAATGTTTTAAAAATACAAACCTTTGCATCTAAAATGTTGAGAGTTGTTTCAATTTGTTGGATACGAAGAGAGAGGTTTGCCAGTTTCTGTAGAAGAAAAATTAGAGCCATGAGGATAAAGCACTCAGTTAAAACTGTCAAAAACAACACGCAGGGCAGACTTAACAATAATACAAACTGTTAAGTATCTGTCATTTTCTAATAGCCTGTCTTGTTTATATGAGCAAGAATGGGAGCTCAAGCATTCTCTTTACTAGAATGTTCCACGGTTATTAATAAAATATCACCAGTTTTTAAAAATTTAGTTTTAGTTCAGCAAACTCATTACCAGAGCAATCATTAATGGGGCGACAACAGCTCAGCCAGAACAGCCTTCCGTGCTGCCGCTGGGAGAGGAGCTGCGACCTCAGGCTCAGTCCTGCTCCTGACAACGGAAGGCACCGGCCGGCCTGCCACGGGAGCTGCCTGCAAGTCACTGAGCTAACTGCACAGGCACACACACGTGCCCCAAATTCTAACTTCCCCGGTTTGAAGAGTAAAGGGGATGACACTGGAGGATGGCCAATTCACTTTGGAAAGAATTTAGAGAAAGAAGGAGAGTACATAAAAAGCAGAGAAGCAACCTAGCACCAGAATTCAAGTCAAACTGGAACAAAGAGCTTCCAGGCTCCTTACCTGCTCTAATTACAAGTACCCGCACACACATACACGTCTCCCCACTCTCTGAGTTACTTTTCTCGTTGCTCAAACAAAAAGACACGGAAAGGTTTATTTGACTCAGTTGGTAGAGGTTGCAGCCCATGGCTGGCTGGCTCCAGGGCAGGGTGGCGTGGCAGAGAAGAAACAGTTCATGGTGGGCACAAGAAAAGCAAGGAAGAGACCTTCGCAGCTTCTTTCTGTCCTTTTCATAGTTTATCTAGGCTACTGGGATCGGGGCGGTGTCAAACCAATCAGTGGACTGATTTAGTAATCACATCCTTAACGCAGCATCTCACACTCTAGATCCAGCCTGATGAGGCTTTAGGGAGACATCTGGACATAACCCCAACATCATTCATCCCTGGACCCCCAAAGACTCATGCACATTCCTTTATGAAAAGAAAAAAAGGCATTTAGTCTATCTCCAAGAATTGCCCAAGTCCTCACAGTTTCAGCATTGCCAGAAAGTCCAAGTCTAAATGAAATTTAAGGCAAACTCTTAGCTGCAAGCCCTTGTACAAATGAAAAGAAAGTTGAACACTTCCAACATTCAGTGGCACAAGGTAGACATTTCCATCCCAAAAAGTACAAACAGGGAGATACAAAGGAATGGGACCACAGCAAGCCCAAAATCCAGCAGGACAAATGTGAAGTCCTGCAGCTCCATGTGCAGAATCCAAGGCAATCTGTGTAAGACGTGAGCTCCAAAGGGTTTGGGTGGCTCCGCCCCTAAGGCCCTCTTCCAGCGGCTGAAGGCCCCATGGCTTCTCTCTTGAGCCAGCTCTGCTCCCTCCTTGCAGTCTTCCTCAGACGGTCACACGCCTGGCTTCTCCAACCTTCCGCGGTCTCCAAGGCACCTCCCTCTTCACACGCACACGTCACACACTGCTCTCTCAGGGGCCCCCTGCCTGGCCTCCCAGGCCTTCTTCTCAAATCTGGGTGGCAGCCTCCTGACCCAACGCTTGCATTCTGCACGCACCTAAAAGCAGCGGCGTGTGGATGACGCCGAGGTCTGTCCCCGGCTGGAGCAGTGGCCGGGCTTCCTCCTCTCTTAGCTGCGGGGGCTGAGGGCCTCTGAACCAACTTCCAAGAAACAACTTCTCCAGGCTGCCACCATTCTGGAACATGGTGCTCTGGGGCTCTCTTCTCAAAACAAAGTCTTTCATCTTTGCAACTCTGAGGCCTCAAAGGCTCAAGTCAGGCTGGTTTTTGTGATGGCCTCAGTTCATCTTTTCTGGTGTCTTCTGATATACTTGGCTTTTTCTTGCTAGTCTGTTCAGCGACCAATTTCTGTGTCCCATTTTTGCAGGTCATAGCTTTACTGGAGCTTCCTTTCTGGCTAAACTCATAACATTTTGAATCACTCTGCTGGGCTCTTAACTCTTGATTCTCACAGATCTGGCTGAAAGCCCCCAACAGTAGCTGTGTCACTGCCTCAACATTAGCCTGCCTTGAAATTTCTTCTGCCAGATTAATTAGTCCACTGCCCTTAAAAGTTTCTGGACATGAACAAGATGCAGACAAGCTTTTCTGCCAAGGCATAACACACACTGGCATCCAACAGCCCATGCAGTCTTATTCCCAGCAGAAACCTCCCAAGCCGGGTCTTTTTTGGCAGGATTTCTGTCAGCCTTCTGGTCTTGTGAGCTTTGACCAGAATCTCCCATCATGGTCCGCCTAAGGCGCTCCAGCTGCACTTTTTTGGCCTCAAGCCTTCCCACAAGCCATTCCCAAAGGCTCTGGAACTATGCCGTCAGGTACAGTCACAGCAACGACCCCGCATCTCTGGTACCACACTCAGTCCGCCCATCTGCAGACAGAAATCTGACCAGGTGAAAAGCCCTTCCCAAGGCTAAGGAAAGTGGGTGACAGGTGAGAGCTAGGAAGGCCATGTGTGAGAGCGCAAGAGCTCGGCTTTCATGTCCCCAGGTAGAGCAACATGGAGAGAAGCCGCGTCCACTGGGGCCAGGGAGGGAGGGAGCCTGACTACCCCTGAGCACGCAGGTGACGCAGGTGACACTGGGCACTGTGTGAGCCTCCATGCTCCACTCCAGCCCCCAGCACTGGGCCAGGCGCTGCCACCTTGGCCTCTCTGGGTAACCCAGCACCCAGGGCGGACTCAGGGCCAGACCAGGCATCAGCTGCCCAGGCCCACAGCCACGCTCCACATGACCAGGAGACCTCGGTGCCAGCCTAGACCAGGGTCCAAGCTCCAGGCCAGTGCCAAGGACCAGGCCTGACCCCCAGACTCAGGCTCTAGGGCTGTCACCGTGAGCTCGGGGCTGTCCTGGGCTACACAGTGAAACTCCGTCTCAAATAAACAATCCAAATCAATAAATTAAACAAAAAGGGCTGGAGGTATAGCTGCTCAGGGCAAAGGTCTTGGGTTCAATCCCCAGGACAATAAATAAATAAATAAATACTGCAAAACGTTGACAACAGAGACTCAAGACACAAGTAAATGAAAAGATGTGGATATAAAGTGGAAGAATTAATATTCTCTAATTGTCTAGATGCTCATGAGGCTGAATCAGGAGGGTCTCAGGTTCAAGGCCAGCCTAGGCAACTTAGTGAAATTTTTTTTGAAAATAAAACACGAGGGCCGGGGATTTAGTTCAGCGGTTCGGTGGCCTGCCTCGCAAGCGCCAAGGACCCGAGTTCGATCCCCGGTACCACAAAAAAAAGAAAGAAAATAAAATACGAAAGGGCTGGGGATGCAGCTCTGAGGTAGAGCTGTGCAAAGCCCTGGGCCTCACCCCCAATATGGAAAAAGAAACAGAAAGGAACAGCAAAGGAAAAGCCCATGCGACCCAGAGTGACCTGCGGGTTCAGTGCACTCCCTATCAAAATCCCAATGGCATTTCTCAAAGAAATAGAAAAAACAATCACAAAATCCAGAAGGAACTACAAAAATTTAAAAGAATCAGCAAAGCAATCTTGAGCAAAACAGCACAGCCGGAGGCCCCACAGTGACGGCCAGCAGGCTCCAGGCAAAGGCGCCAGGAGCAGGCGGTGCGGGAGGAGCAGTCTCGTAGGAAACACTGGGAAGTGGGCATCCACACGCAGGCAAATGAGGCCCTCACCTCACCCAGACGAAAAGGCAGCTCTAGATCGGTCACGGGCTTCAATGTTAGGGTCCGAACCAGAACTACCAGGAAAAAAGAACCACGGGGGCCAGCTCTGATACCGGCGGGGGCCTCGTTTCCGGTGTGACCCCAGATGCACGCCAGCACCTGTAAAGGCAGACAAACGAGGCGCCATCAAACCGGACAGCAGGCGCGGCGAGGCTGGGCGGAAGTGTGTGCAGATCACGCAGCAGCCAAAGGACAACACCTGACACGCACGAGGACCCGAAGGGCTCACAGCAAGATGAGTGGCCGCGTCCTGACACCGGCATCAGCCTGCAGGCGTTTTTGCTACTGCTTCTTGCTTTGTTTATGGCACTGCAGAGGGACCCAGGTTCTCACTCGTGCTAGGCAAGTGGCCTGCCCAAACTACAGCCCCACCCATTCCTGGGTGAACCACCTAACAGACAAAACAATGCTCCAGAGTTCTAATCGTGGTGGAAAAGGCCCAAATCACCTCTTAGGTGTCAGAATGACCACTACTGAAAAGATAAAAATAACAAGGAATCCTTGTACACTGCTGGTATAAGTTAGTACCGTGCATCCTTGTTGAAAAAAAATATGGAGATGCCTCAAAAATAAAGCATAGAGGTATGATTATAAAAGGCTGTATGACTCAGCCTTTTCACAGCTGGGTCTGTACCCAAGGACATGACAAAGGTAGGGAGGAGAGACGGCTGCAACTCCATATTCACCACAGCATTATTCACAAGAGCCAAAGATGGAATCAACCTAAGTGTCATCACCCAACGAAAGGATAGAGAAAATGAGGTGCATGTACACTGTGGAATACTATGCAGCCACAAAAAAGATGGAACGTCATGATGTCTGAGCGACAACACGGATGGATATGGACGATATTATGTTGAATGAAATAAGCCAGGCACAGAGACACATGTATCACATGATTTCCCTTATATGTGGAAAAGAAAAAATAGAACTCATAGAGCAAAACGGTGCTTACCTGAGGTTGGCATGAGGATAGGAAGACAGGGCACATTTCAGGCAACGGATACGAAATTTCAGTGAAACACAAGAAGTAAGTTCAATGTAACCTGCGCATCAGGGTGACCAAGGCAATGACAATACAGTGCATCCCTGAACACTGCTGGGAACAGCTTTTAAGGTGAGAGTTCTTATCACAGTCATACGTGAAATAAGCCACACATTAGTTTGACATAAGCCACTCCATGATATGTAAAATTATGAACGGATCATATTGTGCACCATAAAAATCATACAATTTGACAGCTAAGACAAATACTGTATTCTTAAAAAGGAGAAAAGGCAAGACTATCTTTAAAACTTCACATTCTTCAGCGCCTGCCTTGCAAGTGCAAGGGCCTGAGTTTGATCCCTGGCACCAAAAAAAAAAAAAAAATTCATGAGTTTTTCGGTCAGCAAATTTTTCTTTAGGGCTGAAAGGAGGACTAGGGAACAGCGATGCAGCGAAAATAGTTGCGGGGAGGCTGAGAGAGGAACACAAAGGGGTTGGAGGCCAGCTGCAAGGCTTCTGTCATTTATAGGTGAGGGTGGTGATTTACCGACCTAGTGCTCCAGGCTCTCGGCCCTTTCCTAGGTGGGCGGACTTGTTCTTATTTCTTAGCCCACTGATGAGGAACCGTTTGCTTCCTTCTGCTACCATCACAGGTCACCCTTTCTCCAAATATTCTCCACCCTACGGAGTACATGGGGGGGGGGGATGTTGGTTTACCCCTTGCTTCATTTAAAAATGCGCATTAGTGAGTGTCTGCAGTGCGTGATGACTGTGTTCTTTGTGAAGCTTACTGACTGGCTTTTCTTCAGTCGGTCCTACTTCCTGCTGGGAGAAGGAGTCTTAGGATAAAAGTCGCTGGACGCGGGCACCTGATGCGTGGGGTCTGGCCACCGAACTGAGCCCGACTACCACTGGTCACCTCTTACGCTCGCTGGGCTCAGTGACAGGACAGAAGAGATTCTGACTACTTTGGAAAACAACACTGGGTGCCCCGTCCCACGATTTATCAGTGACACCCAGCACAACCTTACTTGCCAAAGCCACGGCACACAGTGCTCAGAATGCTCAATCCACTACACCTGGGAATTATCTAAAGGTTCCAACATTTCCTCTTCTTTCTTTCTCCTAAGTTCAGTTTCACCTTGTGTTTCTCATTGTCTTCCTAGGCTTTCAAATTTTAAAACATTTTATTTATTTAATTGCAATAGTAGGGACCCAACCCAGGGTTTTTTTGGCTTTCTAAAAGACAAGGGAGGGCTCGTTGGATATGATGGGTAATCCTTAACTGGGTACTTAATCCTCACAAGTCACTTGCAAAAAGAAGTTTTATTTCTGTGATGATATCTGATATCAGACTTATGTTTTAGGTCCCATCCCTTTACCATCTTTATTTTCTTTTGTTTTTGTGTCTGTCTGTCTTTCTTTCTTTCTTTCTTTTTTGACACAAGGTCTCGCTGTGTAGTTCAGGCTGTCCATGAACTCACTATGTAGCCCAGGCTGGCCTCAATCTCGCAGCGATCCTCCTGCTTCAGCCTCCTGAATGCTGGGACTACAAGCATGAACCGCCATGCTCAGTCTCTTTCCCATTTCGAATCAAAGAATATAAAATAACTTAAATGCCAAATGTAAATCTTTCCGGAGGAGAATAACACATTTCAAAGTAAAAAGTGCCCTCCGCTGTGACACTTTCCTTGGTTCTCCTCGATCCCCTGGTCCCCGCGGATGAGGCGCAGTCCCAGGCGTGGACGCAGGGGCCCGATCCCTGGCGCTCTGCAGGTTCTCCTGCCGACCGGGCCCGGGACCTACCTCCTCGCACACCGTAGAAAAGCGGTTGAGGAACTGCACGGTGTGCACCACAAACTGGTTTAGAAATGCCACCGTCCTTTTCTGCTGAATCGCCGGCACCTGCGTCGTGTAAAACAAACAGGGTTGGCGCGGGGACCCGGGCGCCCTCCCGTCCTCCTCCCCGCTGGCCGGAAGCTCAGCTCCCTCTCACGAACCTTAGTCAGGTCTAGGCCCGACCCCATGAGCGGGAGCCCGTCCTCATCCATCTCCGGCGCGGGCGGGGCACCCCAGCTCCCCACACACCCCGCCCCGGCGAAGCCCGCCCAACCCGGAAGCGGAGCCCGAAGCCCCACCCCGAGACTGTCCTACCGGAAGGAAGCGCCGCCGTTCGCCAAACATTGGGCGGCTTCCGGAGGGCTCGCCCCTTCGCTCCGCATGCTGGGATTTGTAGTTCGGGATTCGGTTTGTGACGTCTGCCTCCTGGGCTTCAGAGCTAGGAACACGTCTGGTGTTGGAGCGGTGAAACCAAAACATGTGGGGAAGGAAAGGAAAAGAAAGAAAAAAGGAAAAACAAAGTCAGGACGTGCATCGGTTTGAAGTTTTCCCTGCCTAGTACTATTTTATGACTAGCTCGGCCATTTACTTAACAGCTGTTTTTAATTTTACTGTCCTACTAAGCGCCAGACAAGCTGCCGGGTCTGGTGGGAAATACAGAAACTGGTCAGACCGAGCGGGCTGCCCTGCAGAGGTGTGTGCTCAGAAGGGATAAGGGCTGTTTATTTTGTACTGGGGATCGAACCCAGGGCCTTCACACAACCACGTCCCGACTTTTTAATGTATTTTTTATTCTGTTTTGTTCAATTCTGACAAGATCTCACTAAGTCATTCACCTAGTTGCCTAAGCTGGGCTCGAATTTGCACTCTTCCTGTCTCAGCCTCCCAGAGTGCTAAGATTACAGGTGTGTGACACCATGGCCATGTGTTTCTCATACATTAAAATTTAAAAAAAATTTTTTTTGTTTTTTTGAGTCAGGGTCTCGCTGTGTAGTTCCATCTGGCTTAGACTCACTATGTAGCCCAGGCTGGCCTCAAACTCGAGGCAATCCTCCTGCCTCAGCCTCCTGAATGTCGGGATTACAGGTGTGCACCACCGCGCCTGTCTCTCCTATCTTTAAAGCATGAGGTTAACACTACAGTTGAGACACAAAGGCGGGGCAGTGACCTGGAAAGATGTTTGTATCTGGAGTTTGAAGTCTTAGCCTGGATTCTGAATGGGCAGTTTGCCAGCTGTGTAAGGAGACCGCCTGAATGAAGTTGGACCCCTCCTGTTACCAAGCAAGATACTCAGCCCTGGACAGAGAAGGGGACAGTCTCTGCCTCCGAGAAATGTATGATGCAGGGAAAATTTGCCTCATGTTGATGCTGTCTACACAAACATGCAAATAAAACACTGAAAGCTCTGCGCATGCACCCAGGCACGCGCGCGCGCGCACACACACACACACACACACACACACACACTCACACACACAGTGGCCCAGGCAGCCACGCAGGTGGGGAAGCCAGAACAGGTAGACTTTTAACAGTGTAGGGTGCGGCTTTGTGCAGGGGCCCCAGAGCATGAGGCAGGCCAGAGGGGAAGCTGTGTGGAAGCAAAAAACAGCCTGAGGGAGGAGACCTGAGGCAGGAGGAGACAGAAAGCTCGTTTGAGGTGTGCCATCCTACATTCGATGCTACAGTGCATGTTTCTCTACACACGATCCTTACAAATACTTGAGTGCTTCTGGGGTTTTAAAAATTTGTACTTTGTTTGTGTTTGTTGTTTTGTTTTGTGGTATTAGAGATTGAACTCAAGGCATTGGCACTATCCTGTATCCTCAGCCCACTTTTTACTTTTTATATATTTTGAAAAAGGGAAGCCACTAAGTCGCCAGGGTTGAACTTGAAATCCTCCTGCCTCAGCTTCCTAGAGTGCCTCTTAAAATGCCCATCTCAGAGATTAATCTCAGAAAAACCAAATCAGCACCTCTGTGGAATAAGCCTAGAAGTTTGCATTTTAACCAGCCCCATCACTCAGGGCAATACTGAACCAAAAAGGAGACATTTTGGAAGATTCTAGGCAGAGTAAGTGACAGGACACAGATTTGATAAAAGGTGGTGCAGTGCCTGGCACACAGATATATAATAAATGTGAAAGAATTTGAGGGTGGAATTTGTACACATAAAAGTGGGAGGTCAAAGTGAGGAGGGTAGACGAGGGATAGTTTTAAGTCTATCTCCATGTCTAGGACACTTGTATATTTTTGAACATTTCATTGTTAGCTTTTGACAAACACTTGCTGGGCTTCTAACATTTTCGAGGTACAGGCTCACTTCAGAGATCCAGGCCGTAGTGATATAGCGAATGTCATAGTAAAGCAAATTATATGAATTACCTGCTGTTAGAGTACATGCAAAATTGCGTTTATACTTTTGAGGCTGACCTGGGCTACACAGTGAGTACAAGGCCAGCCTGCTGGACCATATAGTGAGATCCTGTCTCAGAAAAACCAAAACAAACACAAATATAAAAGGTTATTGCTAAGAAATGCTAATAAACAGAGTTGTCAGTAGTCACAGGCATTTACCTAGGGGAGAGCGCCCCACCTCGGTGGCTACTGACTGATCTGGGCTGTGTGCTTGCTGAGGGCTGGGCTGGCTGCGGCAGTTTCTTAAAAAATAAAATTTTATGCACCTTCTCATGAAAAGCATCTTCTTAGCATGCAAGCTGTTTTGTTTTGTTTTTTGAGACAGAGTGTTACTGTGCAGTTCAGGCTGGCCTTGAACTATGTAGCCCAGGTTAGTCTAGAACTCACGGTGACCCTCCTGCATCGGCCTCCCACAAACTGGGATGACAGGCGTGCACCACCTCGCCTGGCTTTGCGGTGTTTGATGGCCTCTTGCCCACTGCGGAGCTTCACGCAGCACCGCAGCCAGTCCTTCCAGACCTGCTGTGGCCGTCTCAGCTCGGTCACAGGGCACTGCGATCCCGCTGGTGTTATTCCAGTGGTGTGCGTGGGTTCTCCACCCGCGTGGGTCCCCTCTCAAGGAGCACGTCTCTGTTTTTCCACCAGAAGCGCACTACATCCTGAGACGGAACAGTTCAGCCACTGCTTCTGCTCCGGCCCTAATCCCAGTGGTCATTTCTACCACAGCCCCAGCCTCTTGATCACTAACTCTCCTTCCGCCCCTGGTTAACAAGGACGTTGGCATTGACGGTTTCCAGTTGCACGAAATAAAAGGTAGAGAGTAGAAAGTAAGGGGACAGGTCTTTTTCCAAGGGGGAGGAGAGATCAAGAGATGGAGGAGCGGGAAAGGGGATGAAAGCAGAATGAAGATGAGGGAGTTGTGTGGACCAGCTCCACATGAGGCAAACGTATACCGACAAACAGCACTGAAATACATACAAAACCAGCGGCCACAGGCAGCTTCTGACAGGAGCCAGCTCGTCCTCTGCTGCTTCACGCCGGATTTGGGCTTCTCGGCTCTGCAAGCCTGTGGCGGCCCCTCGTGCTAGTGACCTCTTCCCGAACCTGGGAGGACAGGGTTGCTGGCGTTGCGTGGGACGATGCCTCACGGGTTTGCTTGTCTGCTCCGCCCGCTTGGGTGACATCTCCTTCCCCGGGTCGCTGGGAAGCGCGTCTGATTTCCCACAACTTTTCTGTTGCATTCAGGGTAGGGGTGCCGGGCCTGGCTTGAGCCTCCTCAGCTTTCCTTCCTCGTGAAGCTTAATCACTGTTAGCTTGTGACACGGGGCTGTCGTGGGGCACTGGTTGGTTTAATTCCAGAATCATTTTTTCAGGAGGCCCAGGAGAGGAGAGAAGACATGGATGTGTGCAGGGTAGAGCGGTCAGGACACGGACATGTTTATGCGCATGGTTTCCCACCTTGGATTGGGGTTTGAGACCCCGAGACACAACAGTGACATCAAGGATGACAAGTCGCAGAGCACCGCGACACAGCGCGGTCACAGAGCCTGGAGACACTGCCCGAACGCCCGTGTGACCACGTCAAAGTGGACATGCGACACCGGGAAACCCAGGTCTGGGACCACTCGGCCACGGCTGTCACCGACTTCAGTCACGAGCAGAAACCGACACAGCACCGCCACAGATCCAGAAACAAAATGAGAGCCGGCGGCCTGGACTGCACTGGCCATGGCGCTAAGATAAGCGCGGTGACGGTTCTGGGCACCCGTCCTGCGCTGTTTTGTTCTTGATGAGGTCCATACGACAATTTTTCCATTCCTCTGGGGCAAGGATGATTCTTTTCTTCCTCAATTTTGCTCTTCAGCGAAAACTCATGAATGAGATTAATACGCAGTTTTGAGTGCTTACTATAACCCAGGCCCAGGGCTGTCGTCGGGAAGCCTCCGTCCCATCTCCTACCCACCCATCCCACCGATGTCCTGCTCCACATAAAGCAGGCGCCTTCCCTTGTGAAGGTGAACGGCTAACAAGTAAAGCAGCGGGTATTATTCAGTTGCTTAGAGTCCAGATCAGAAGGCAGAAAGTGGGAAGGATTCTGGCTTTCCCTGGGGGTGAGGTGGGAACCCTGGAGAGCTGCGGGGAGGCCTCAGCTTTCAAGGCACCACGGGATGCAACACTCAGCGCCCTCGGCCTAGGATGGACGCCTGAGTATTTTTGTGACGGGGCGCACCACGGGCCGCGACTCAGCTGACTTTACTCTGCCAGTGCCCAGAGCGTGCCAGACCTGACCACCTGCTGTGCCCGGGCCAGGGCTTCTCCCCGCGTGACAGGGCAGTGCCACTGCTCCCATCACCCTGCCCCTCCACACGTACTTTTCTGCGGGATGTTATTCCTGAAGTCTTCGAACAGCCAGTGCCTTCTGGTGGCCCTGGGAAAATGGGACTTTGGTTTCTTAGTATTTCCCGTTTTTGCCATGGATGTGAAGGGCTTCCTCCACCTTTCCAGACTCTAACCATCCCGTGCTCAGTGTTTCCCGATCTAAGAGGGCAAAGCCATCCTTCTGCACAATGCTCCTGATATAAGGGAAGAGATGCAGCTGCCAAACCTGCTAATATCCGAAACACAAGTTCGTGGTGCCTAAAATGGAAGAATGAATGCTAGGAACAACAGAGGTTAAGAGTAGGAAGAATTTATTGAGGGTAAGAAAGCCAATGTCTAAGAGAGACAGAAGGGGGAGCAGAAGGTGGGCTACCCGCCCACCCCACCTCTCAAAGATGTTTTACACGGCCAAGCCATGTGGTGAGGTGAGTACCAAGTGGGACAAAACTGCAAGACCCGATGGAAAATGACAAGGTGGGCATGAGGAGGGGCAAAACCA